CCCCTCAGTGTCCCCTTGTCCCCTCAGGACCCTGCTGAGCCACCCTGTCCCCTCAGTGTCCCTTTCCTGTCCCCTCAGTGTTCCCTTGTCCCCTCAGGAGCCTCCTGAGCCACACCATCCCCTCAGTGTCCCTTTCCTGTTCCCTCTGTGTCCCTTTGTCCCCTCAGAAGCCTCCTGAGCCACCCTGTCCCCTCAGTGTCCCCTCAGTGTCTCTTTGTCCCCTGAGGAGCCTCCTGAGCCACACCATCCCCTCAGTGTCCCCTCAGTGTCCCCTCAATGTCCCTTTCCTGTCCCCTCAGGAGCCTGCTGAGCCACACCATCCCCTCAGTGTCCCTTTACTGTCCCCTCGATGTCCCTTTACTGTCCCCTCAGTGTCCCCTTGTCCCCTCTGGACCCTGCTGAGCCACCGTGTCCCCTCAGTGTCCCCTCAGTGTCCCCTTTGTCCCCTCAGGAGCCTCCTGAACAAGCCCAAGAGTGAGATGACGCCGGAGGAGCTGCAGAAGCGGGAGGAGGAGGAGTTCAACACGGGGCCACTCTCCGTCCTCACCCAGTCCGTCAAGAACAACACCCAGGTCCTCATCAACTGCCGCAACAACAAGAAGCTCCTCGGCCGCGTCAAGGCCTTCGACAGGTCCTTCACACTGTCCCCAAACTGTCCCCAAATTGTCCCCAAAGTGGCCCCAGGGTCCGCTGGTGTCCTGCGGGGTGGGATTGGCGAGAGCTGGGGTGTGTGCGGGGGGTCCCCAGGCCTGTTCGCTGTGAGTTTTGGGGTTTGGGGTGTCCCCCTGGGGTCCTCAGTGTCCCCATGTGTCACCCCAGTGTCCCCAGTGTCCCTTTGGGTCACACCAGGGTCACCCCACAGTCCCCAATGTTCTCCAGAGTCCCCCCAAGTCACCCCAGGGTCTCCCTACGACTCCCAGTGTCCCCTTGAGTCACCCCAGGGTCCCCAGTGTCCCTGTGTGTCACCCCAGGGTCCCCAGTGTCACCCCAGGGTCCCCAGTGTCCCTTTGGGTCACACCAGGGTCACCCCACAGTCCCCAATGTTCTCCAGAGTCCCCCCAAGTCACCCCAGGGTCTCCCTACGACTCCCAGTGTCCCCTTGAGTCACCCCAGGGTCCCCAGTGTCCCCATGTGTCACCCCAGGATCCCCAGTGTCACCCCAGGGTCACCAGTGTCCCTTTGGGTCACACCAGGGTC